GTTAATTATTTTGTAAAAGTTTGGTGACTGAAATGATTTTGAGACATTTTTAAAGGAAAGATAAGTAAGACAGTTTGAAACCAGGTAGCAATGATTTCTGCACTGAAAACTGCATTATCAGTTGTGGCTGACTTCAGGGAAAAAGGTTGTATAATTTTCTCATCATTATGAAATGCTTCCGCTTTCGCTGACTGTTGCATGAGTGACCTTGACTATTGCCATATGTTCCTCTGTTTATATAATACATATCTACTTCGGGAAAAAATGTATATTACTTTCAAAAAATAAGAACTCATTTCCTTCCTTTTTTTTAAATAACACAACACTCATTGTGATAGTCAGCATTTTTGACCTTGTAGTAGTTCTTACTGTTAGTTTTCAGAAGCGTTAAATTGCTTTCATTGTTGTCCAGGCACTATTGTAGAAATGATAAAACCTAATGAGTACAAAGAACACTTAACTAGGTAATAAAGGTATTAGAGCTCTACATTACCATGTAACCTTAGAAGAATTCATCTAATAAGTTCTCTGTTCTTTTAGTCACTGGAATTATTTTTGACCACCTGTTAAATCATGAGCATGTTAAAATTTTTTTCCTTCCTTTCCATTTCCTTTTTTTAGTCACTATTTTAATAGCCACCTTCCCATCATTCTCTTCCACTTTATAGTTTTCTGCTTAAATCGTAGATCTGATTGTGCCGTTCTTCTACTCAAACAATCCTGGTAAATCTCTATCCTATAAGAGCATTCAGTTGCTTGCATATGTTTATGTGCTTACCATATTATAAACCCCTTAATTTACTTATCTTCACATCTTCCATGGTACTTTATTGCAGTGCCATGCACATATAATCAATGTGTAACAAATAATGTGTAACAAATATTTGCTGAGTTGAATTGCTTATTTATTCCCCCCTTCCCACCCCCTACCCCAGGTTGGATCTTGTCTTTGGAATTGTATGCTTTAAGTTGTAATTCTTTCACTTAATTTGTATGTGGTTCTCTCATTTATATGTGAAAATATAAATCTAGCTGCTCTTCTGTCTACATAGTCATTCAGCTTTATCTGTGTACCTAGTGTATAGCCATGTGTATAATCTTTCTTACTGTTAGCAAAAGTCAGTGTTTTATCAATGTTAAGCAAAATGCATGTGAAGATTAAAAACAACAAGTGTTCTATATAAAAAACTAGTAACTCTTGATTATATGGTTTTGTAGTACATTTTTTGACAACTGCTGGCTCAGCTTTCTTTTACCTCACAGATTTAAGTGATCTGATTAGGATATACATATATAAAAGATACATGTGGGACTTGATAGAGTTCTTAGCAAGTTAAATTTTCTAATTTTTCCATATCCAGAAAAGATACTTTTTAATCTAAAAATCACAAAATATTTTCATTTCAATATAAAATACCAAAGCATTAAAATCTAATTATAAAATGGAGTTTTCATAGCACCTGTGCTTCTGAAAGAAAGGAAATACTGGCAGCGAGATGAATTAAGACTATTAAGGTCATTCAGGCAGGTGGTACTGAGAACTCAAACTAAGGTAGAGGAAAAAGAAATTAATAGTTTCTAGATAAACTGTAGAGCTAGAATTGACAGGAATTGGTACCTGGTAAGGTGTCAGGAATTAGAGATACTTGTTAGAGGCAAAGTCAGGCAATACTTATTTCTAGATACTTGGTTAATGCCATTGTAAATACTGCCCAGGATTTCCCACCTCTGTTACTTTGTTCACATCATCTCATTCTTCTGCATGTTCAACTTCCCCAGGCTAAATCTTACCCATCCTTTAAGGTCCAGCTTATATCCTATTCAGAAGTTACCTTCAGGTGCGCTCTCGGTGGGGGAAATGCTGAACTCTTACACAATTTATATCTAATTTTTTATTAGTATTTATTACCTCATATTTGTCTTTCTTGTGCATCTTTTCACTCGTAACTAGTGCCTTATATATAATTAAGTAAATCATTTTGAATTGAGTTTTTGTCTTCAATTGATAAAAAACATGATCCAGTATCAAGTTAGATAAACTGCTTTCCTTATAACTTACTCTAGGTTAAAACACACACAAAAAGCCTGTATTTACCTACTGTTTTTGAAAACAGTTCTTTTTGTAATCTTTAAATGTAGATCTGCATCAATAATGGTTTGGGGGAAAATGATCACAAGCACAAAGGCTTACATTTTTAGGATGGTAGGTGCTTAGGCTTCTGTAACCTCAGTTCTCGTCACTGTATGATTTTGTTCCAGTTTCTTTTTGTAATTTACTGGTAAGTCCTTGAATTGTGAAACACAAAGGAATTGGCCCTTCTGTTCTTTGAGGTACAGACATCTAATTGGCGAAACTGTTTGCATAATGTTCCAGAATTCATTGAAGAAGTTTGTACCACAGCCATGGAAATGGTTACAGTCTATAAATCAGGGTCCTAGAAAGCAGTGCTTGTGTGAGGTTTTCTTTAATCCCCCAAATTAGACAATTGAAAGACGCTTTTACATAAAGTGTTTCAACTAATGTTTATATGTGACTAGCATCTCAATTCCCTTTTAAATCATCTATCCCCTTCTTTCTGAATGAAGAATTTACCTCCATGACTATATTTTCATGACTCTTAAAATATTGAAAAGCTATTTAAAGTATTTATATATGGTTGCATATGAAATTTTCTTTAACTTTAATGGTTTTCCTTTAAAGTTTTTTTTAATAGAGTAATGTTAATATTTTAAAATCTGATCAGAGATGCCAAAAATCCTTTTAAGAATGTAAACGATTGAACTTATCAGAATTAAATCATAAACATAGTTTCAAATGTTTGGTAATATTTTTGAGCTCACTCCAGTAAGGAGAGCAGTTGGATTATAGCACAACACAGCATTTTAGAACATCTTCATATCATCATTATAAACATTATCGTTGTTATATTATCAAATTCCTAACATTTATTGAGTCTTTACTATGGCACTAGGCACTACATACAGTATGTCATTTAATCCTTAACAAAACACATTATTAGGTTTATAATTATTATATCCATTTTGCAAGGGAGTTCCTCCTGAAAGTCACCGAACTAGTCACCATGATCATCCAACTAGTAGGAACCAGAGCCATGACTCCAGAGCTTTTGCCTGCTATGTAAGGTATAAGTGAGACTGCATACTTCATGAGGACCGGAGCTCTGCTTTGCTTCTCACTTTATGCCTGTGCATAGCATAATGCCTGGCACATAGTGGATGATTTATAATAAATTTATTATAAAATATTTGTTGGACAGATTTGCCTCTTATAGAACAACAACAATAACAGAAGCCCTCAACAGAGCTAGGCTTAGTCCTTGTAGCTTGGGTGCATGTATTCCAGGGATCTTACATTGGAACTCTAAATACATTTATTAGAGAGAAACCATGTTAGGTGTGGCTGGAAGGTTTATGACTGAATTCTGAGAGTTACATGCATCTTTGTACACTATGAATTCGACTGCCACTGGATAGCATGGCTTCTATGGGGAAATACCTTTTCAGACAATTTTCAAATGGACTTTGGGAATAAAGCCTATTGGTAGGTAGGTTGGAGGTTGTGGCCATATGAGGAATACGATGAACCTTCCCTTGGGATCTCAAAGTCACCATTATGAATATCGGTGATAGTTTTTAAGACCTGAACATATAAAAATTGAGAAAAGTTGAGGTTCTTCAGTGATGGGGGGATGGAGGACTTTGAATGTCCTAGCTTCTCTCTTTCCTCCCTATATGCGTCTTGCAGCAGCTTCTGAAAACTGAGAAGGCTGGGGACAATAATCCCTTCTCCAGACCAGTTTCTTCATTTTTCAAATGAAAAATTTTAGGCTTAGAAAAGTTAGGTGATTTCCTGAAGTCACACAGCTGTTTCTATCACACAGCTAATTTACAGCAGAGGACTAGATGTAATTTCCAGCATTTAGTGCTTTCCAGCTCTACTAAAAATTCTTTCAGGCACTCTTTAAATTGAATAATTAAATCGTTACATAACAACTTCAGTGTTATGTTTTACCATGTATTAAGTCTCTGAAAATAAAATCCTTTGTGCAGTACCTAGATAAGAACTAATATAAGCATATTATTCACAGTTTGAATAACTTTTTACATGTTATTTGATTCATACAACTGTGTGGGTTGGAAGGGCATATGTTATCACTGTTCCTATTTTAAGGATTAAGACTTAGAAAGAATAATGTCACACAGCTAACAAGTTGAGGAACCAAAATTCAAAACTTGATTTTCTCAGCATAAGATTTGGAGTTGGACTCACTTAAGTGAGATGTGCAGCCAGCCTGGAAGCAAGTTGGAACAAAGCAAGCTTCTTGGTTGTGTGATGGTCAGGTGGAGTGGGTGGGCCTCTTGGGGGGAAAGGAGGAGGTTTGGGAAAAGGCCTATCACTGAACTCTGTAGTGAGGGAATAAACAGTGGGTAAAGTAAGGGAGTAGGTTTGGGGATATGGCTGCAGTGAGTATACAGTGCATGAATTTTACTGAGACGTCATGGTAGAAAGGAGCTTTTCCTCAGACCTAGGTCTGAGTTTCTTTTTCACTACTAACTAGCTGCGTGACCTTAGGCAAGTCAGTTGATCTTGGCAGTGGGCTCATCTGTAAAGTGAGGATAATATTAACTTTGTGAACGGTGCTCTGACTGCTCAAAAGTCTTTTTTTTTTTTTGGCTTCCTTCTGGTTTCTTTGTATTTCAGTATTTTTAGCAGCTACCTAGCTAAATCATGAAGTGGTTACATATGTTCCCATACTGAATGCAGAAATAGTAGAAATCTCCAACTGAAAGGGCATCAGAATGACACCAGCTGCTGTGGATCAAAGAGAATTTTTATTACCTTTTTTTGTGTGTGTGACAGACTTGATACCCAGTCCATCTCAAGTTTGGTTCTCGCTTTTTATTTTTATTGTTGTCTATGAAATAGTAGTTAGTGAATTGTTCCATCATTAATTAATTTTAGTTTTTATTTTTTCTAGTTGTATAGGTTTGGAGAGACAGTGTCTGTTGTTTTTTGGACAGACACTTGGAGACCAGAAAGCTTTTTTGACAAAGTGAAGAAGAACAGACAAAACGGCATGCACACGTTATGCTTACTAGGTAAGGGCTGTGGAGTTTCTTTAGGGTGACAATGTGGAGTTGTCATATTGTTCTCATTTTGATTTTGTGTGAAGGTGAAACTGTTCTGTGGGATACAGGCTAGCTACTCTATGCATGGCATGCTCTTCCCCGTACTCTGTGGAGAAATGAATTTTCTGTTTCAAATACGACATGGCTACTCCTACATACGTGCCATAGTTCGTGCTGCTGCCTACTTACGCCCTAATAGATCCTCGCCAGCATTCCATCTTTTACCCATTGGTCCATTAAGACCCTGTTCTGGTCAATTTACAGCAATTCAGTAGACATATTGAGCATTTATTCTTACCACATTCCACCCTGTCTTCCTTACGGTGTCCTTTGAATACTGCAGTATTAATGCTATCAGAATCACAGAATTATAGATCTGAAAGAGACTCTTGACATCATCTTACGGAAGCCCTATTTTACAGATGAAGTTGAGGCCCAGAGATATTGAATCATTTTCCCACTGTCACCCAGATTATTAGTTGCAGAATTCGTAGAATCCAGATAGCCTGTTATTCACAGCTCTTTTCACTGTATTATGCGGCCAAATTCTGTTTCCTACCTAGTGTGGAAATGGCTGGGATCACTGTCTTTGTACACTAAGCTGGTGGTACTGATAGAGCTTCAGAAGGGATGGGCTGCATTTGTCAGCAGAGGTACTGGAATTGTACTGATTCACATTTGCTATCAGTTCCTATTCTACAGTGTGTATTGTAAAAATGCTATAACCAGAGCTATAATCTGTGGCTAGTCAACAGAAAAGAAATAACTGGCATCTTTGATAACTTTGAAATGACACTTATACTTGGGATCAGAAGACAAAATCTGAGTGCTACTATATACTAGCTAGAGAATATTGTCAACAGTCCTTACCTTTGCCTTCATTTTTATCAAATAGGAATAATCTTTTCTTGCCTCATGGAAGTGTTTAGAGCAGTACTTCTCAATTTGTGGTGAAGGACCAAGTTTTTGTTCTTTTATTTATATATGTGTGTGTGTGTGTAGATATGTGTGTATATACACACATACATAAAATAAATATATGTAAAAATACATATATTTATTTACTTTTAAGTTTCTAATCTTTTGTGTCAAAGTCAAATTCCTGTAGGTGTTTGTAAACACTTATTCTTACTCCTGTAGTTTTTTTTTTTAATCGTTTATTGGGAACAGAATTCTCACATAGTGGCATCAGTTCTCGGATCATACATTGAATTGCACTGTTTTAGTGATACTGTGTGTGAAGTCACAGCAGAAGAATGTCTGCCACATAGCACAGAATCAGGGCAAAGAATGAACCCATGGTTTTGGCCTCTGTAGTAAGTACAGATATTCAGAACATTAGAAAAGACTCCTATTTGCCAAAGGCATTTAAGTTATTTGTATAATATAGACAGTTCTCTATTATTCAATGATATATAATTTGTACATTATCAGAACCTCAATCAATATGTCTCTTTTAAAAGAGAAGACTGTAGAAAAGTTTTACTAATGGTTAGCATTTCTTATAGGGTAGAAATCAGAAATTATCCAGCAGGGGTTAGCAGACTAGCACCCGTGGATCAAATCTAGCCTACTGCCTGTTTTATAAATAAAGTTTAATTAGAACACAGCCATGCTACTTTATTTATGTATTATCTGTGGCTGCTTTCATGCTCCACTGGCAGTGATAAGTAATTTTGACAGAGACCTTGTGGCCCTCAGAACCTAAAATATTTACTACCTACTTCTTTACAGAAAAAGTTTACTGACTCCTGATCTAAAGTGAAATTCTACCTAATCAGATGTGGTACACCCTGTATCCCCCAGTGATTCTCTTTCCCATTACCTTGTATTATTTTTTTTAAGTCTTACCATCCATCTGAATTATTTTATTAACTTGTTGGTTTTCTTCCCTACTTCATAAGAGCAGGGACTTAAGTCTTGCTAGCTCATTCAGTTCCAGCTAGAATACATTCCTTTTACTCCATTAACATTGACATCTAATTAATTCTAGATCTAGATCAGGCCATGCATGCTTCTCTAACATTTTTTTGGCTTATGGCTATATCCCACAATTAACTGGTATAATAATGTTTTCTTATTTTAGTTTATTATCAGGGCAGTTTAGTAATTCATTATTAATTAGCTTTATAGTTTTGTGTTTAGATTTTCCATGTGGAAAGATACTAGTTTTCCTTTTTTTGTAGTTCCTACTGGCAGGCCGACTGTAACACACTTGTTAATTCATGTGGAATATGCCATTAGATATATCCATCATGTTATCTTAAACTTAGATCCAATTAAGGCCAGCAGTATGGTAGAAAGTCAAACTAGAAGGATGTGAGAAGGACAGCTGTTAAATGGACTTTTATTAAAGGCAGAAGTAGAAGTATATGCAACTGAGGGATAAAAAACAAGGATTCATTGGAACTCAGGTACTAAAAAGCATGTGTGTGTGTGTGTGTGTGTGTGTGTTTTACAACAGAACTGAGGTTTTAAAACAAAACGGGGAGAAAAGTAGTCTTAAGAGGCAAGCTACCTGATAACATCTTCATGTATCATAAAAAATGGGGGAAAGGAGGAAAAATAGAATTTATCTTTTGGAAGCTTTGGAAGGACAGAAAATCAGTTTACAGTATTTATTGAGTATTTACTGTATGCCCAATGTGGAGTTAGGTTCTTCTGGAATACTAAGGAAGTATTAGACATGGGTCCTGCCCTCAGGGTTTTGAAATCTAGTTGGAACTAATGTGCTGTGTACATGAAAGTTTATAGAACAGTTAAGTTCTATTGTATGGAGAGGCAGGAAGGACAGACCAGAACTTTGGCTCTTGAACTCTCTCTAAGAGCTGCCTCTTTTCTTGGCTTTCCTGGGAAAAGACAAACAAGGTTAAACAATATATCTTCCTTGCTCCATTAACAAAAACAGGAACAAGGTGTGAAGTATAAGATATCATGATTCCAAATTCTCAAACCATAGATCTCATCATTTAATCACCTGGAATTCTCATTATTCAAATTAGTACCTATTTATTGAATGCCTGCTATGGGCCATGCCCTGTAGGGATTATGTCATGGTATGAAACCATAGAGAATTTAAAATTTACTTGGAAGGATAAGACTGCTGTATATAATGTAATTGGAGATTAATAAAATACAGCATTAATTGTATGGATATTTCAGAGGACAAAGAGCATTTAAGAGGAAGTCAGTAAACGCTTTCTGAAGGAGCTGGGACTTTTACTCTACTTAAAGGGTAGATAGTTTAAGATGGGCTGGTGGTAGTAGAGCCATGTGAACAAATTTATTCAGTAGAATTTATGGAGTATCTACTAGGTACTTTGCATTATGCTAGGTGCTGGTACTAAGATGAATAGGAGAGGCTTACATTCTAGCAAGTAGAAGTAGAAAGGAATAATTATGGCCTGTGTGAAGACAAGGGAAAAGTATCAAGATAGGTCTGGCTTGAGATTAATTCACTAATGCAGTCTTATGTTCAATTAAAAAGCATTTGCCTGTAAAAATTCTCCCCAACCCTCTTAATTTTTAAAATCAAATTCTGTGGAGCATATCAGTAAAAAAGTAAATATATTGAGGATATTAAATTAAAAACTTAAGTATGACAACATTTCAGAAGCTCAAGGTGAATACATTAATAAATGTGTTTAATTTTTAAAAAATATTACAACTACTGTGTAAAGGAGCTCAAAGTCGACTTATATATCATTAATTGTATTGCAGGCCGTATTTCAATAATAGATATACATTTTTTCCTATATGTGCCAGACAACTGGAAATATTAAATAATTAATGATATTTCGAACCTGAAAAATATATTCACTGCTGGTTCCAAGAACATTTAGCAATACATGTAAAGGATTATCTCTGGAGTATTTTCCAAGCAAATACTTAGTATCCTTTATGAGAAAAACTTTTATAATCACTTGGGAAAGCTGTAGAAGTCTATCAGAAAGACCCCTCAGTTGCACTATATTTATTTTTGCAAAAACAAACTTTGACTGAACCATTTGTTTTCAGCATGTAGAACAGGAAGCAGCTGTCGCTCTTGCTGTTGTGTGCTGAGTTCCTGTGAGGATGTAGAGTGATTCTGCTTTTTTACCTTCTACCGAATTGTTTAGCTGAGCATCAGTGATTAAAAAGCGTAAAGGATCAAATCTTTGTGATGCTTGCATTGTCAAGCTTTATTAGAGCAAAGACTACGTGGGTTTTGGCCACTGTGGTAGCCCTGTACCTGGCTACCAGTCAGTGCTCAGGAAATCCCAATTAAAGTATGAATACTTGGTATTAAAGTATTCATAAGTTATTAGGCATGTCTTACCATTCACAAGAAAGCAAAAGTCTCTTTTCAAAATGTGGTAAGAATTTTCTTTTATTTATGTTACATGCATGCATTGAAGCTTATATTCTAGTGCCTGAAAAATAGGTAAGAAGAGGAACATAACAAGACTTTTCAGTTGGTTCTATGCAGTTACCACCTAATAGAAATGAACACAAAAATTTTGATTAGCTGTTTGGTAGTGTATATGCCAATATTTATCTAACTCTTTCCTGTGTCTTCTTTTCCAAGAGGAAATTCGATCCTTTCAGGATGGTCTCAGGGCCAACTTCATGTTTGTTTTCTAACTAATGACGTTTACACAACCACAAGCTTCCCTTCTTCCTCATATTTCCTTTAAAAAGTGGCCAGATACAAGTGTGAAGAACGATTGTCATAGACTCAATCAAATTAGCATTTTGGAGACTTGAGAATAATGTCTACCACAAACTTAGGTGACTCAGTTGAAGTTTACACGTAGGATTTTGGATAAAGTAGTGAATTAAAAGAGAACTATTTTTTACTTCCTACAGACATCAAAGTAAAGGAGCAGTCTTTGGAAAATCTAATCAAGTAAGTTATCCTGAGAATGCTTACATCTACTTTAATTCTGTGAACAATAAGTTCTACTTAAATAACATGAGTTCTAAAGATTGTTGAAAATCAGTTTTCAGTAACAGTGCAAAATTAAATACTTTCAATCTTACGAAATGATAAGCAGTGTGATAGATAGAGTGGAAATAGCAATAGATTTCTTGGGTCAGTACTGAGAACAGTGGTTGGCACCGGATAGGCACTCAGTAAATATTTGTGGAATGAGTTAATTGGGAGTCAGAAGACACGGGCTTGAGTCTTGAGTTGGCCTCTGGTTATGTGCTCTTGGGCAAGTTACTTCCATTTCTGAGCTGTATTTTCTTCATTTGTATAATGCGAGTACTAACCCCTTTTGCCTGTAAATGCAGTGTCCCATACAGTAGCTGCTACCCACGTGTAACTAATGGGCACTTTAAATATGTATGGCTAATGTAACTGAGGAACTGAATTTATAATTTAATTTTAATTAAATTAAAACATACTCAACTTAGTTAATAGAAAACATTTAAGTATATTTAGAACAATTCAGTATGTAAATCTACTTCTACAACCATGAATTTTATGAAACCTAAATACAGATCAAGTATTTCCAATGAAAATTTAACATTTGAATTAAGATGTGCTAATATATAAAATACATTCCAGATTTCAAAGACTTAGTACAAAAACAATCCTTAATAATTTTTATAGGAATAAATGTTGAAATATAACATTCTGGATCTATTGGGTTAAATAAACATACTAAAGTTAATTTTTTCTTTTTTTTGCTTTTATTAATGTAGAGTCTATAGAAAATTTAAATTTATGTTTACTGCTTGCATTATATTCCTCTTGGAGAGTGCTGACTTATAGAATTGTTCTGAGAGTCAGTAAAATAATCTATATGAACTGTTTTGTAAACTGCAAAAGCAGTGTTTTTATTTTGATCATTGGGCAAATGTGGTAGGCTTTTGAGGCATATGGAAGTAAACATCTTATCCTCCAAGATTTTGAGATATTTATCTCTTTAGTTTACTTTTTTTAGAGGAAGATGTGAAAAGAGGGATATGTGGTTTAAACATGGTAATAAAAATGAACACTATAGAACCTGATTAAACTAAGGTATAGAACAAATTGCCACTTATTTTGAATTATTTTTGCCTGAAGTATCACTTTGAATAAAAGTAACTTTGATTTAAACATTTATCTTTTAAGTTGTTGGACTTTTATTTCTGCCAGCATTTCAGTGAGATGAGAGGGCATTTGAAGTAGAACAATGAAGAAAGCTTAAGAAACTTAAGATAAATGATCACTGTATCCGTGCTTTAATGTATACTTAAAGTGGGTAACAAGCGACCGCTTCAAACATAAGGTAGACTATGGTAATTGAGTATACCTGGGGGAGTAACTGTGTTAAAAATGTATTGTGTAATTTCATGGCTAAGAACAGTGGCATCTAGTTTTACACTTACAGGGGAAGAAAGATCTATGAACCTCCTCGTTATATGAGTGTAAACCAAGCAGCCCAGCAACTTCTGGAGATTGTTCAGAATCAGCGAATACGAGGAGAAGAACCAGGTACTGAAGAACCTTAAAAGGGCTCTCGTATTCCCCTACTGTTACACTGAGATGTGTATGTAACGTCTGACATACACACACATATATATGCCAACATCACAAGTGAGAGTCAGTGTGTTTGCACTGTATTTTTCCATGTCACTTTTTTTCAACATTACCTTAAATCTCATAAGCTGAATGTTATACTGAAAGAAAAATAATGGAGTTCCTTCTAGTAAAATTAATATCATTCTAGAAAGTAAGGATTTTTTACAAATTAACTATAAATCAGCTTTTATGTAAATATGTTAACATATAAATATTTTGGTAAAATACAGAACTTCCATTTTAGCCCAAATCTATGGTAAACTCTGTCCTGTAAAAGTATACTTATTCTACTTTTTCTCATTTTCAGCAATGAGACCAGGTATAGTTTTCTTCAGGATAAAGACAAGAGAATTTATCCTTATATTCCTAATATCTAGACATAGTATTAATAGATGTGGTATATCATGAAATGTTCACTGTCAGTAGGTTTTTATTGAGACGTTCTTAAATGAATCTGTCATTATATTCTGTTGTAAGGTGCTGACTGGCTTTGAGCACCTATTTCTTGATAGAAAAGATACATGAAGAGATTCTTGAATAACATTGGCCTCAGTAGGCCTTGTTAAAGTCATGAAACAAATAATCTGCAAGGGTGCTCTATATCCATACCTATGCACAGAGTTCCTTACATGCCAGCTTGTCCTTATAGAAATCATTTGCCCCATTTTGACCATTTTTCAATCAGGACAGCTTTCCCAACTAAACAAAACCACAAGAGCGTCAGCCCTTCAGCTGTCAGGCCACAGTGAATAATACTAAAGTTCACTAATGTTGGTTATTTTGAACTTAAAAGCATAAGGGGGCTTCCCTGGTGGCACAGTTGTTGAGAGTCCGCCTGCCGATGCAGGGGACACGGGTTCGTGCCCCGGTCCAGGAAGATCCCACATGCTGGGGAGCGGCTGGGCCCGTGAGCCATGGCCGCTGAGCCTGTGCGTCCGTCCGGAGCCTGTGCTCCACAACGGGAGAGGCCACAACAGTAAGAGGCCCACATACCGCAAAAAAAAAAAAAGCATAAGGAATGTCATAATGCCTATTATTTGTTAAGGGCTATGTAGTTTACTAAGTACTTTCATATCTATTATCTTAGCCCTTAAACCACCATTTATGACAGATAGTATTCCACTAAAAAAAAAGAAAAAGAAAAAACTGAAGTTTGTTACATAGCTAGGTGGCCAAGCACAGACTCAAATCTGTGTATTTAGCTTATAATCCCCTGGTTTTTCCAGTATATCTTGGCCAATGTGAATATATCTCAAACATTTTATTTAAAATGTAAGCATGTGAGGCCACAACAGTGAGAGGCCCGGGTATCGCAAAAAAAAAAAAAATATATATATATATATATATATAAATAAATAAAAACATGTAATAAATATTGTTCACTCGGAACTTGAAGACAAACACTATGCAATAGAGTATGGATACAGGAATTATTCAAGTCCTAAAAATTTAAACTAAGGTAAGTCTTTGGAATTCTGAAAGGGTAAAGTTAGGCAGTACTACTAAGGTAAGTCTTTGGAATTCTGAAAGGGTAAAGTTAGGCAGTACTACTACTAAAGTATGTCAGGTAGTACAAATAATTTAGAAAAGCCTTAGATAAATCAGTAGATAGTGTGTCCATAATGAGTGATTAAGGAGATGTAATATATTTGGGTCTTCTTTAAATGTACTTTGGTACTAGTGTTAGTTTGAATGGATTCAGGATAATGCATTTGCTGAATTGAATGGTGGTATCTTTTTTTTTTTTTAATAGCAGTCACCGAGGAGACACTCTGTGTTGGCTTAGCCAGGGTTGGAGCTGAAGACCAGAAAATTGCAGCAGGCACTTTGCAGCAAATGTGTACTGTGGACTTGGGAGGACCATTACATTCCTTGATTATCACAGGAGGCAGCTTGCATCCACTGGAGATGGAGATGCTAAGTCTGTTTTCCATCCCAGAAAAGAGCTCAGAATCCCAAAGCATTGATGGACTCTGAACATAGGCATTTTATTGTTAGATGTTAATTTCAGTTATATATGCACATACACATATTTGTATAACAAATCAAACAGGTCTTTCGGTTTACCTAGTATGTATAAAACGAGTGACCAAGAAGAAAGATGCTGACTCAACAGTGCTTGGTTTCCTTTGGCAATGAGTTTTTTCCCTATGATGTCATCAGTTTTTGCTGCTATTTTGGCAGTTTTTCAGGATGTACATACATGGAGCAGACCATGCTGGAAAACTTAGAGATAGACATCCATCGACAGAATCATTTAAAAGCAATTTTTGTTTGTGAAATCAGTTGATACAAGGTGGAACTTTCTTCTTTCTTAAAAAGTCAGATGTCCTGACTGCAAGATAAGTTGTCCTGACAGCATTTGGTATTAATGCATATAAACAGAGGTAGGAAGAATAAGTCCCCACCCAACAGTCCTACTTACTTAAAGCTCAGCTGAGCACATGCCACAACATGACATCCTTTTGAATTGCCTTGTCTTGTTTAGCTGATGTCCTAATTATGTGCCTCATATTCTGCTATTTTGGAGGTTATATAATTGTTGAATTATAAATGTTCAGCCAGCCATGTACAGTTGCTGTTTGGTTTTAAGTAGCATCTTTCACATCCAAGCTGACAAATGGAAAACTTGCTGACTACAAAATAAAATCTTTAAAAATTTACGTTTGAAAACAACAGTGGATTGGTCAAGATTTATCATATCTCTTAACAGTTTATATGCCTCTGTATGTACGCAAGTAGCCACATTCTTCTTCCTAGTTGTAAATCACACTCCATTTACTATGTTTCATGACTATGAAGTCTCATACTTTTGTCAGTTTATAACAGAAATAGCTTTGCTACATGTTAGTTTAGTTGGTCTAACTCTGAGTACAGTTGACCCTTGAACAACACAGGTTCGAACTGTGTAGGTCTGCATATACGCAGATTTTTTTTCACTAAATACATACTGCAGTACTACACAATCCATGGTTGGTTGAATCCTCAGATGGTTGAATCCATGGATGTGGAACCAGGGATGTTTTCAACTGCATGGAGGGTCAGTATCCCTAACCCCAACATTGTTCAAGGTCAATCAATTGTGTTTTCATGGCCTAATCAACGTATCTGAACTCTTTGTTCAGTAGATTCATAGGAAGTTGAGCAACTACTTCCCTACTTTCTGAAAGCATCAATTAAGAAGAGATTATTTTGAGTTGTTTCATTTCATTTGAGATAAAAGATATTTTAATATATGTGAAACATTCTGTTTTCACTATGCTGGACGAAAAAGAGGAGAGAAACAAGGGCATTTAAGTACCAGTTCTGTATTGTTTTTTTTCTAAGGTGTTAAACAATGAAGAATTATAAAGTGAAGGCCTTCTGGTTTTGGTAGTGGTGGAATAGCTTGTAATGTACAAACCCTCCCAATTATAAACTGGAAAAATATAATAAATAACTGTCCAAAGGCACTGGGGAGTGACCAGAAGCAGCCTGAGAACTATGCTTATATGACTTTTCCCTCAGGGCATTCACCAGTCTGTCTGGTGAGGGGGTGACTAGAACTGAAGAGAAAGTTGCAGTCTTAATGACTTGAGGTATTGGAGGAATTGGGGGCTGCTGAAGGAGGAAATTCTAGAAATGAAGGTGGCACTGATGGAGGAGACTTCCAATCTGCATATGATTTCCTCTTAAGTTTTTTTTTTTTTTTTTTTTTTGTGGTACGCGCGGCTCTCACTATTGTGGCCTCTCCCGTTGCGGAGCACAGGCTCCGAACGTGCAGGCTCAGCGGCCATGGCTCACGGGCCCAGCCGCTCCGTGGCATGTGGGATCTTCCCGGACCGGGGCACGAACCCGTGTCCCCTGCATTGGCAGGCAGACTCTCAACCACTGTGCCACCAGGGAAGCCCTCCTCTTAAGTCTTTGACTAACTCCTGCATTGTGCATGTGCAGGGAAGATTCTAGTGAACCAGGTGGAAAGCCATAGCTGGAAGGCTGAAAAAGCTGAGCAGAGATTGTTGCTCTCGGTTGCAAGAGAAAACAGAATTTGAATCCCAACAAGCTAGAAGGCTTGGTAAGTACCTTAGGCTTTCCCTCAAATCCCTAGAACGGTTGTGTATTAATCAGAAAAGGCTGTGCCCAGCACTAAGGATTTGTGCTAAAACTAAAGACAAAATCTTTAACATAATGTAAAATCAAGCTTCCATAAAATCAAGGTGATTAGCCAATAATTTAACTGCCTGCTAGAACAAAGCTTATTACTTCCGGAGCATAACAAAATGAATCAATCTATCAACAATGCCTAGAATACTATAAAATATTATGAGGCATGCAATGAAACAGGAAAATATGACTTATGGTCAAAAAGAGAAAAGCACACAGTAAAACGAGATCCCAACATAATCCAGATATTAGAATTCTCAGACAAGGATTTCAAAGCAGCTATTAGAACTATGTTTGAGGATGAAAAGGAAAAGTGGTTGTAATGAATTAATATAAATTGTACGCTCAGCAGAGAATTGGAAACAAAAATCCCCGAATGGTTGGACTTAACAACAGAGTGCAGATGATAGATGAATAGAAATTATTGATATCTATCTGAGGAATAAAGAAAAAAGGTTAGAGGGAAGAAAACAAAAGCACAGAACCTCAGTGCCATGTGGGGCAATATCAAGCAGTCCAACAAAGATGTAACTGGATCCCCAGAAGAACAGAAAGGAAATAGGGTAGAAAAAGTACGAGTAGGTAAAGGCCAAAATTTACCCAAGTTTGGTGAAACTATGAATATACAGATCCAATAAATTTAGTGAACTCCAAGCAGAATAAATGTAGAGAAAACCAAAGATAAGAGAGAATCTTAAAAGCCACCAAAAGTGGTATTGGGGAACCCACCAGGGAATAACAAAAACTGACTACTACTCATCAGAAATAGTGGAGGTCATAAGACAATGGAAAGACAAAATCTTTACACAAATTCAAAAGCAAAACAAAACGCTTATCAATCCAGTGTTCTATATCCAGTAAAAATTTCCTTCAAAAATAAAGGCAAAATAAAGCAATCTTCATGAAAACAGAATTTGTCACTAGCAGACCTGCACTGTGAGGAAAGCCGAGGGAGAATTTTTGGGCTGAAGGTAAATGACATCAGCTAGAAGGAAGGAAATAATAAGTATGTAAGTATAAATGACTATCAGGTTTTCTTTGCTTCATGTTTTTAAAAGACAACTGACAATTTAACATAGCATTGTGGCATATATGTAGCTGTAAAATATATGCAAACAATAACACAAGTTGCAGGGGGTAAAGGGAATTATACAGTTGCATCATTATAATTATGCAGGTTGTTACATTTTATTTGAAGTAGTAGAATACTAACTGTAAGTAGACTGATAAGGTAAAGGGTATGTATTATAATCCCTTGTCAACTACTATCAAAAACACACATGGCAGAAGTAAAAAAAAAAATTGAGGAATTAAAACTGAATACTGAAAGATGCATGGTTAGCTAAAAGAGGGCAGGAAAGGAGGAAATAAAGGTCAAAAAACACAGGACAAAGAGAAAACAAATAGTAAAATGGTAGAGTTAAATTCAAACAAACCAATAATTGCTTAAATGTAAATTAGGTAGTCTGATGAAAATGACTAGATTTTTTTTTTTTAAGGCTCAACTAAATGTCTCTAAGCATTAAACTTGAAATATAAAGACAGGATGAAAGTAGAAGAATGGGGAAAAAATAGACCATACAAACAGTAAGCATAAGAAAACAAGGGGCTCTATTAACATAAAGCAAAATGGACTTCAAAAGAAGGAGTATACTGGAGATAAAGAAAGACTTTTCATAAAGAGGAAAGGGGCAGTTCATGAAGAAGACATATCCTAAACGTGTATGCATTGAATACCAGCTTGAAAATACATGAGGCAAAAATTGACAAAACTGAAGGACGATATAGACAAATCTACAAAGTTGGGGATTTTAACAATCTCTCAGCAACTGATAGAAGTAAACAAAACCAGTAAAAATATTGATTGGACAGCACCAACAATTTGGGTCAAACTGATCACTACAGCTAACAGTGGTACTAGACATTATTTTCAAGCACATATGAAACATTCACCAAAGTAGACCATATGCTTGGCCATTGACCACAATGGAATTAAATTTTAAATTGCTGACAAAAAGATGTCTATAAAAGTCCCAAATATTTGGAGATAAAACAGTATTTATTTTTAACTGAATAAAAACAGAAACATAAAATGTGAAAATTTGTGGGATGCAGACCTTCGAAATTTATGCAGATGCAGTGCTTAGAAATTTATTGCTTTAGAATAGAAAAGAAAGTTTTAAAATCAATAATGTTTTCATTTTAGAAAGCTAGAAAAAGAAAAGCGTATTAAGCACTAACTAGAAGGAAGCAAATACTGAACATATTTGCCACTGAGCAGAAATTGGTGAAATAGGAAATGGACAAACAGTAAAGAAAATTAAAGCCAATAGAATGTCAGAATTTTTAAAGGCTAACAGTAGTGAAAGCTACCAGGATGTGGAGTAACTGAAAATCTCAGTATTGGTAGGAATATAAATCGGCACAACTACTTTGGAAAATAACTGGCAGTTTCTTATAAATTAAACATACACTTGCTCCCTGAACTAGCAAAACCAGTCCTATGTATTGACTGAAAAGAAATGAAGGGCTTCCCTGGTGGCGCAGTGGTTGGGAGTCCGCCTGCCGATGCAGGGGACGCGGGTTCGTGACCCAGTCCGGGAGGATCTCGCACGCCGCGGAGTGGCTGGGCCCGTGGGCCACGGCCGCTGGGCCTGCGCGTCCGGAGCCTGTGCTCCGCAACGGGAGAGGACAAAACAGTGAGAGGCCCCCGTACCGCAAAAAAAAAAAAAAAAAAAAAGGAAAACACACTGACAAAAAATAGTCTGTGAATGTTTATAACTTTGTATATTTATTCATTTATAGCCCCAAACTGGAACCAAGCCATGTGTCCATTACAAGAGAATGCATTTAAAAATTGTGTGTTTTACAATGGAATATTACTTGGCCATAAAACAGAATGAGCTATTGACTCACACACAGACATGAGTGAATTTCAAAAACATGTTAGGTGAAAGAAACCAGACACAAAATTGTATTGTACACTTCCATCTATATGAAGTACAGTAACAGGCAAAACTAATTAAAAGAAAACAGTGGTTACTTATGGAGAGAGTGAAGAGTGACTGGAAGGGGACAGAAAGGAACCAGGGTCATGAAAAGTTTCTGTATCTTGATGGGGTTTTGGTTGTATGGGTATAAACATTTATCAAAATTCACTCAGTTATATAGATTTAGGATCTGTGCATTTTTCTGTGTTAGGATTACCAGATAACACAGGGTATGCATTTAAATTGAATTTCAGATAAACAATGAATAATTTTTTTAAATACAAATATGTCCCATTCAATATTTGGGACACATTTATACTAAAAAAAAAAAAAAAGATTATTTGTTTGAAATTGAATTGAGTGCCTATGTTTTTATTTGCTAAATCTGGTAACTCTAATCTGTACGTAATTTAACCTCAATTTAAATGAAATTGTAAAATGAAAACTGTACACTATTCATCAGCAGAAAAAGGATGAATGTTACTGGTTTTGGTCTCTACTATTGTGGAATCCCAGTGTTTTGGCCATTAAAGTTGAAAC